AAAAGGGACTAAATATCACCATAGGTGTGTACTACTTTCAGTTATTTACTAAGTATAATTGTGTGAGACATTTATGTTGCATTGAGAGGAATTCCTGGCGGACCTAAGCTTTAAGAACTCCCATCTTCTCTTTGTTAATTATGGCCACATTATTCAGTGTCGAAGTCACAGAATCATTCAGTCTATGCCCCGTCCCTGAAGAATCAAAGTGGTTTTCGAAACGGCCACTGGAGAGATAAGACAACTGTCATAGATTCCGACAAGTTATCACTTCGCATAAATAATTAAGTTTTTTAAAGAGCTAATTGTGAAGTCAGTGGCCGGATGGTAGAATCTTTCACTCTGTCAGTAATTACTATTAGTAAAACGAATCTGCCAGTTACAGACAAGCCTTGTTTATCAGTGATTTAATACACAAGACCTTGAACAGTCTCAGCTGTCTGCTGACTAATTACTCTGGAAAAGCAGTATTATTTATGGTTGGATGTTGCATTAAATTTGATGTCAATAACTTCATTAAACTCAGTCAATTTCAAAAGATTTAAATCAGTCACAACTTGCAAAATTAGCATTGGTTGGAGGATTTCATCATGAGGTGACAGCAGTTAGAGAAGCACTGGAAAACCTGGGTCTACCACTTCGCCTCGATCTCGTGTACCTTGAAGCCACTGGGTCCGGAGTGCGTACTGTCGAAGAGTCCCAAACTAGGACGAAACAGCTGTCCAATACTCACAGGTTTTCCAGTGCTTCTCTAACTGATGTCATCTCATGATGAAATCCTCCATTCAATCAAACAAAAATCCCTACAAAACCAATACTTGAAAATCACATTTTTATCGAACACTGAAGTTTATTATTAAGTAAAAACTGCATCTAATAATCTAGCAAGTTGGCAGCTAGATTTTACTTCGAAAAATTTTCATTTAATTAGAAACGAACAGTGATTCACTAGTAGAATGCTTACCAGCTACTCGTGCCGTTCGGGGTTTGACTCCTGGTCGGTAGTAAGTCAGGCGAAAAGGGAAGATTAGGTGTGAGGTTAGCGACCCCACCCTATAAAAAGAAATACTACCATTAGTGAAACTTCTGAATCCAGGTTTAGAATGGAAGAGAGTTAGCTTGGGCGGTGTAAATGAAATAACAGGAAACAATGCTTAGAGTCGGTTCAAACGTGACTGATTCTTGAAATAAACTCTTCTTCCAGACTGTTAATCATAGACAACTAGCTAGTGTCGCCAGTGGCCTATGCACTGAATTACATTTTCTAAATCATGAAAAATCTTTACATTTGCCTCACAATTCCATGAAAACTTGTATCGTGGAAAAAAATTATCTCTGTGTCAAAGATATCATCAATGAGCATAGTGAGAAGACGTTCAATGGAAAAGCTAAGAAAATTTAATCATTCTAAATCTTCTCTTTGATTTCAAAGGAAATAATAATAGTATCTGCGTTTTGCAGGGAAAACAGAAGTCATGCTAAGACTGACCAGCTCATACACCAGAATATTAACACCCGTACCAAATGCTGTGCGTTTTAAAAGGAGATATACATATGGGTGTTTCGCATCATAAGTAAACATTTCCCAGTTCACCAGCTGGCCCAAAGACAGAATGTTGGGTGTGGTAGTGGAAACTTCACCCCGCAAAAACCAACTCTATCGCTACTGAAGCCTAAAAGCGCAGAAAAAACAAGGTGCAAGAACACTAGCCCGGAAACTGGCAAAGAGGTATAAGTGGATCTACACGAAGCTTAATAAGTGACCATCGTGCCAAAACTTCCTTTAGAATTAAATATGCTGAAAGGTTGCCTGTCAAAACCTCTGAATATCTACCTTTTCTGTATAGATGAATTATTAACCGCTGAAATAGATAGACCATAGTTTTTAATTTGTGGGTGGTGACTAGCAGTGGAATCTAGGATGCGCATTTCGTCCTATTTGGGGCTCGTCATCTGGATGTACCTGCATTCCCCAGTGAGTGATGATGTTCCCACCGAGGCTCGAACCAAGTGCCCATAGTTTCAAACGCCAAAGCATTATCCATTAGACTACTTGGGCCACGAGGGCCATCTCTTGTGCAACGGGTCATATTAAATTTAACTGAATTTTAGATTTTCCCGTCGATTGATTGGACCGAAGTGCTCGGTTTCAGGATGACATGTCGGCTTCTGATGCAGATACTTTTCAACCTTAGACCGAGCACTTCAGTTTTGTTCAACCACCGTTACTTTTCATATCTCAGTCTGTTTATTTTAAATTACTGGTAAAAAAAGACAAATAAAAGGTTCCAAAGCTGTTCTCTTTCTATGCTCCTTTCGATAGTCATTTATTCCTTTCGGCAGTTTATCTTATAACACAACCCTTTATCAATAATTTTATTAGACTTTACTACACCTCCAGTATGTTTTGATTAACACTCACGAATCTTAACAACTTTCCATTTATTCTATGAGGCTTTTAAGTATAAAACTATTCGATTAATTTATGAAGAAAAGTGTAAATAAATGGAATTGTTCAGACAATAATAAATGAATTTGTCGAAATTAGTCTCCTCCGAATTACGTGTTTTCCTTTTCTACATATTCTAATAGGTATTTTCCATTAAAAAAATATATTCCGCTGTCTTTTACACTTGGCGGTGTGTTTTCACCACCAATTCATTAAGAATAATCCATTTACCACAATTATATTACTCCCTTAGATTAGCTATTTACCGCGAATTCATTATTTTTGTAAATAAATTTATATAATAATGCATGCATATATATTTAAGATAACTATGCCCATTATGCATCACGCTACTTAATAGTAGTTGGAAGCAATTAGTAAATATTTTTAGACATCATATAGAACCTGTGTTTTCATTCTCTTTTGAAGCCAGTAAATTGACAAACATTCAGAATGATTTTTGAATATTTACTGTGTCTGGATAAAGGTAACATAGTACTACAACTATTCAGTGTAGCTGATCTCTTCTACTTATTCAGTAGTCAAAAGTAATTGTCACCAGTGTGATTCTTGATGTTTTTTTGTTTTTTTAAACGAGGTATGCAAAGATTCCATTTTTATTCTCTGATTGATTCTGTTGGAAAGCAGGGAGATTCTAAACCAGAATTCTAATTTTCACCAACCAACATTGGACAACTGAAGACATTATAAGGGCATAGAGAGATGAGAAGCTATAGGAGTTCAGTGAGACGGTTATGTCTGTGCGGTCATTAGCTTGCAGATAAGAATGGCGTTAATGTTCAAAATTCAGTCTACACAAAAAAATTAAATTTACAGATATCTGTGTAGCTATGTATGGAAGACACTATGTATTACTGAATAAATGACATGAGTAGTTGAACACTACTCGCACCAACTTACTGGCCAGATAAAAATGATTTAAACACTGTACTGCCGTTCCGCTCGGTTGTAGCTGAGCTTATCAGAGATGTACCCGGTGTGACTCACCTCAGAGAGCCGGATCACTCGATTTCTGGTTAACTGCTCAAGGCGAACTGGTATTACATTAAATCAAATTCGCAATTTGGAAGTATTTGCAAAGGGAACTGGTGAAATTTCACCTCCAACTTTGTAAATTGCAAGTCGATAATTCGATTTAATGTATTACAAGTGCGCCTAAGTGGCTAACAAAAAGTCGGTTGATTTTAATCGACTCAGCCCGGTAAGCTGATTCAAATCGTGTACACCGCAGCGCTTAAACGAGCGAAATGACTGTCCGGTGTTTAGATCACTTCGATCTGTCTAGCAAGCACTACTGGTTGAAGTGAGTATCATTCATCTATTCATATTAACCAATCAGTATCATTTGACATCATGCACCTAAGTTTGCTTTCTCGACTGCTATTTATGCTATCAGGCAGATCACACTTTAATAACTTCGGGTTCCAAAGGAAAATTTTGGTGAAATTTCACCTCGAATGGTGTAAACTGCGAATGAGAAATTTGATTTTTTGTAGCTATTTTATTTTGAAGTGTTAAAATTCTCATCTTGATATTCGAGAAATCAATAGATATTATGCAGCTGCAATTGTGAGAAGTTTTGTGTATCTTTATTCCACTTGCTTTCATATTTCTTTATGCTTTGAGGTTTTACTTCTAGAAATGTCAACCTGATTTCAGACATAATCGCTTACGAAATCACCTTATTATTAAAGTCTTAATTTCCCACTTACTTCACTGCTCATTAATGGACTTTAGGGGTTATTTTCAATTTTGGGACATATTGATCCTTATACCTACTTATTACTTTTCTATTCATAGCTGTATTCACATAATATGAGGTTGTTTATTGGCTAAATGAATACCAAAGGCAACTGATAGATTAGAATACTTATACTCTTATAGAATATTTGAAAAGACATGAGAACTCCCATTAATAAAATATGATACTTAACTACTGGAATTCTGAAAAGCTCTTAACATTTTACTATACGCATAAATTATTCATTACTGCCTTGAAGTTAAAAGATTACTTTTTTTGTGATACTTCATGCCTATTTAGTCTAAATTCTTGAATCTAGAATATTATAGCTTTTGAGAACCCATACTGATAATATATTATACCAGCTAACTGTGTTGAAATTCATCATCTCTCCTCCTCCTCTATTGACAATTACGAACTGATACACTAAGGTATCATGTTTTGCATCGTTTTATCTTTTTGAAGTTGCTCTGAAAATGTTATCCAGATGGACACAAAATAATGACTCACAATTTAGTCAACAAGGCCAGAAAAACACCCACCTGGACTATCAATATCCTCAACTCTTTTAAGCGGTTGTAAGTGATATATATAGACCTAATTTTCTACATGTATGTATACGCAATCGCTGTCAATCATTTTCGCTGTTGATACAAGGCAGTAAAAGTTCACCACGTCAACGGCCAGTCTTCTCTTCTTGTCTTCCTGAGTCGCGCTTCTGGTGTTATCGTATCGCGTTGTTGTTGCTGTTGCTAATATTGGTTAGACCAATAGGCTCACGAATAGACTGGATAAGAAATTCGTTTCCGCAACTACAAGTGTATTAACCGGCCATATCAAAATTAGCGACGGATACATATCGATCAGTGAGTAACATGTTTTAATGGGAAGAAGTATAACGCTTCACTAGAAAAATATTTATTTTTCTAATACATTAAAAAGAAGTGGGTATTTTCAGTTCAGTCAAAGAAATCTCCAAAACTTTACAAAATATAACTGAAATGAAATGTGTATGTATACATGAATACAATGGATGAATTAGCCTAGAAGTGTAGAAAAAGAATACCACTCATTTACTAGTTATTATTATCTTCATGATACGATTGTGTTGGAAGTGTCATCATCATGATTATCATCACCAACATTTTCAATTATATTTGTGTCACCAATACCAATGTCATCCTCATTCTCTGAATCAGTTGATATACGTGAGTATACTTTTTCAAAAAATTGTATATCCGATTTAGTGAATACTATTCCACTGATTAGTGTATTTGATTTTTCTGAAGTGTTATTGTTGTTATTATCTTTGCTCTTCAATGTTGTTTTCCCCAGATTCACATTCAACCAGGAGGAAAATTCTCCATCAGAAGATTTCAATAAAGTCGCCAGTTGTTGATCAACATTAACTAAAACAATAATGATTTATTTTTTGTTTCAAAAAACAACGTCATTTATTTTTAGTGAATTGTAAAGATTAGTGTTTAACTATATGGGACAAGGACAGTGATCAGCAGCATCAAAGCTGAATAGTAAAGTACAGTACTGTTGACCAAAACCAACAAAGCAGCCAATGAATTATCAGTACTACATTTAGACTTACAGTTCTACGTGCTACAGTATGGAAAATATAGACCAGTGAATTCAAACTTGATGGGTGAATAGTAAAATAACAGCCACAAGGCATCACAGAATCGATTCCCACCATACAAATGAGAACTTTCAAAGCATCTTCCAAGGAAAACTTAAATGCAAAGTGTTTAGCTCTTCTAGATTGCTATCAGTCAGTTAGTGTCAATAACTCAGAAGAATATAACACTGAAAGCTCTTACTCATTTTGGTGTTGTTGTGTTCTGTGAGATGGAAGGTTTACTTCCAACACTCATCGTCTTTCTAGACAGCACTTTTAGAGCTGACTTCATAATGAAGAGGCAACACAAACAACATGAAAATCGGATCCACCTGAGTAACGAATCTTCTACATTATTTCAAGCTTTACTTACACATATGACTGGATTATTTAGGGTATTTTCATCGGCAGGCTTCAAGATGGTAATATACTACTGACTGAGTAGCTGAATAGCAGTCATATCAACCAGCAGCAGTGCTTGCTAGTCAGCCAGATCAAAGTGGTCTAAACATCGAACTGCCATTTCGTTAATATCAAGCAATCAATCAGTAATATATGCCATCATGCATCGATGCTTTGCTTTCTCAGTTGCTATTTATAGCACTGAGCAGATCACATAGCGTTGTGGTGGTGTGATACAGACAATGTGTTCCAATGGAATACTGTTCTCACATATTCCCACAGTTCAATACTGCATTAGCAAAAGAATACTATATATGTATTTGAACATTTTATTTCATGTCGTTTAATGTAAACTAAAATCCCACGCTCAGTGATTGGTCAAAGAATTATATATATATATATATATATATATATACTGCGATTTAAATAATTTCGATTTCCAAAAGAAACTATGCTGAAATTTCAGCTCAAACTATGCAATTTGAAAATTGTGAATTAGATTCCATTGGACTTCAAACCCGGTGGCTGAATGCTTAACATACTCTTCTCATGATCTGAAGGTTTTCGGTTAAACTCCTGGTGGGGTCGTGGATGCGTACTTTTGAATAGTCAAGAACTAGATCGAAACAGGTGTTTAGTGCCTCCCGGTTGTCAATGTTTAACTAACTGATGTCAGTTCGTAACAAAATCCACCTTGAAATAATAATTAGGAATCTTGTGGTGGTCTAGTCAAAACTAACACTAGAACTTCCAGATTTTCATTTGCAGTTTGCGAATGAAACTATGACGTTTGTTAAGAAAATGCACTATTCAGAAATGCTGGGGCTAATATCAAGTCATTTCAGACAATATAGTGTTCATTAGCTCTTTGTCTTCATCCCCAGAAATGTCTGATAACACTCAGTGTTACACAATATTAGGTCAGTTCGAATTTCCACAAAGACCAACTTTTTTCTTCAACCTCGCCGTATTTTGTCTGGCATTTCAAGTCAGGGATGGTAGTGGCTTGGTATGCGCAACAAGTGTTTTCTAGTCACCCTTATCGACATAATCCCATATTTCTATCGACTAACTACTCCTCCCCCTTTAAGTCTACACTTGTCTTCATTAGTGCAGAATATGTCGCTCCACCTAAAATGAGTACATGAATAATAGCATTGATTATTGAAAAATCCCTTAATCTTTTCATATCGTCAACTTTTATAAAACAAACTTATTATTAAATTAATTTGAATCTTCGTCACACCTACAACAATCTATGAAAAGTACACATTCAAAAACCTACCACTTCTCTATAGTCTTGTAATTAAGATTAATTAATCACATTGTTGTCAGATGGTTGGAGGTGATAAGTCGGAAGCATTAGACCTAGGTTTTGTGCTTGTTGACACTCGTTAGTAAGTAGCATCTGCAATTGTGAGTAGACTCATGTCCTTTCTGATATTCGACCCCTGGTCACTCACTGCTGCAGTCAGAGACTGATCTATTCGAGCTCACGACCGACCTCCTGTAGGACTGTAATGGATACTTCGATTAGATACTTCTTTTGGTACAGACTGAATTCTATCAGTCAAGTTTGCAATGTGACCATCATGGTAGGTGGATGACAAGTGATAACAAGTACAGAACCTAGGTGTAAGGCCTCCTGCCGACTGCCTCCAATTATCTGAATAATTAGTGCTCCATGATGGTATGCCACCTAGCATGTTGGCCACATTGCAAACTTATCTGACAGAATTCAGTCTGCAGCCAATGAATTACTAGCTACTACCCAGTATTCGATCAAAGTAATTAATTATTCACAATATATCCAGATATCTTCAAATCCTTTGAAAGTACATTCTTCGGACCAACTTTTCTGATCTGACTTCAGTAGAACTTCTGTCTTTACTTTCAATAGAAAGAATCCATTGGACGCAAATGTGATTATAAAATCAAACTCTTTCTTGACAGGAACGGTACACTACAAACTATGACCTAAGGTAATTCAAGAAATATACACAAGTTGTGGTTTATTGCGTTATACGAAGACAGTTAATATTTTTGAACTTTTTGTAGTTATTTAATTGAATTTTGGATTTTCCCGTTGATTGACTGGACCAAAGTGCTCGGTCTCAGGTTGACATGTCGGCTTCTTGTGCAGATGCTTCGACGATGTCTGGGCATGTAATTAGAATTTAATTAGTGGATGGTGGCTAGCAGTGGAATGCAGGATGCGCATTTCGTCCTATTCGGGACTCGTCACTGGATGTAACTTGGTGGGAACATCATCAGTTACTGGGAAATGCAGGTACATCCAGATGACGAATCCCAAAGAGGACGAAATGCGCATCCTGGATTCCACTGTTAGTCACCATCCACCAATTTAATTTTTGTACTTATGTTTCATACGGATGAAGACAGACAAATACAGACGATAGCAGATAATGAATAGTTATGATCCCTTTCACTCTAAATACACACTTACTAGATTTTCCAACTGTATACCTTGTTAACGGCCAACATCCAGCTAAGCGTAAAAATGTGAATCTAGCACGAACATGTTCCAATGGTAACTCCCAAATAGGACATTTACTTATACTAAGTCCAGTTGAATGACGTAAAGAGTGTTTGTGATGCGGTGAAGATAATGCACGTATATAATCAAACGATTCTAAACGCATTTCATGTATGCAAAATTCACATAAGTCAATTAATTCCAGCTTTCCACGAAGTAGGACACCTTATTAATGAGGAGAAAAAAGGGAGAAAATGGTGACAGAATAAAACCAAAAATACGAAGTAAATAAATGAATTAAATTAGGAGAAACATTACTCTCACTGGTTTAACTTAATTTGTATTTTCCGTCGATTGATTATGTTGGATCGAAATGCTCTGTCTCTCTCTGTTGACATGTCGGCTCCCCTTGGTAACTGTTTGAAACGATGGGTGTTTAATTCGAGTGTCAGTGGGAACACCATCACTCAGACAAATCCACATGAAGAGTCTCAGACAGAATGGAATGCATATCCTGGATCCCACTGTTAGCCGCTATCAACCAAACAATATATCTCTTAATCGTTGAAGTAATCATGTGTAACACACATTGAAAGATTTACGGCTTTATCCACTAGCATAGAAACCGTTAGAAAGGTCCACTGTCCGTACACAATGATGTACGCTGACTAGTGGAAGTTTTCAGCACTCAAATACTAAGAGTTTGTAAATCATAATACTGAGAGATAAGTTATAGAATCCAATTTTATCTTCTTCATAAGTAGAGCTAAGATTCACGTCATGTAATGTTTAAATGTCCTAGGTATCATTAACTAGAAACATGCGTTTCTGTTTATCTGACAGAGAATAAACCATACCTATAGTATTAATGTATGTAACACCATTCGGGCGCTTCAACTTCAGTGGGTGCTGAAGATCTTGAACATAAGAATGTTTGATAAAAAGGTAAACACTTACACCAATGAAAGACAATCACGTACTTCTTACAAGTTTCCAATAGAAGAACCGTAGTTCATAACCTCATGTAACAACATTTTTTCTCGACTAAGTCCTTAATATTCCGGGTTATTTCAGTCAAGCTGACTTTCTTGGATGACTAAATTAATTCTGTTAGACTAATTAATGGCAGGCTCCAGCAAAGAGTCTTTTCTCCACTTCACCTAATAAACATTAAGCACTAATTAATCGGGCATTTCCAAATTATTATTTCTTTTGCCTAGTCATGACTGAAACTCACTGGCCGGGACCAAATTTCTCGCGTACCACGGTATGAGTCATACTTGTGGTGTGATGGATGATAGTACAACCCAACTGTACAGGCCGCAGTAGACTAAGCGGGATTCGAACCCAGGACTCAACGACTGAAAGTTAGACGCTTAAAGAAACTAGCTACATCGCCACTACCAATGACCAAAGGGATGACCACGCAGCAAGTGCCTGTTTTGGTAAAACATTTAATAGAAAGCCTGATACCTTGATTTAGAAACAAAATACTCGTTAAAATTTGCTAATATGAAAAGTGATACGATAGGAGAAATCATAAGGAAGTTCCACTGCCTTCATTTTGCAATTTAACTAGCCTTACTTGACTCAACTAACTACAACCTTATAAAATTGGGCGTTAAAATCGTGTATGATTTTTACAATTATCAAACACAGTTAACCACCCAGAGGTAAACACTAAAAAGGGGGTATCGCTTTCTAGAATACGAGTGTTAAGGCTTCATGAAAACACTATTACAACATAAACAAGGATGTTGAAATATAAAAATTAGACAACAATAACAACAACAACAACAAAAAAATCAATTTATTGGAAATAATATAAAACTACTTACTGGGAAAACGTTGGACAACATTTATGACATCATTATGTATCAGATAATGACTTAATACTTCAAGAGATTCTTGAAGAATAGTTTTATAGGATAGTGAATTATCTTGATTTGATGTTATACATGGCATAGTGCCTAATGGTAGCTCTGGACAGCGTTCAATAAGTCTGTTAACATGTTTCACACCAATATTGGTGAGTGGATCATAAAGTCTAACAAGTAATAAGTCAGGATTGAGTAAATCCAAACGAATACGCAGATGATCAAAGTTTTGCGTGTGTATGCAGAAATCTGTAACAGAAGCAAAAAGAAAGGAGTTATTTAGAAGGATGTTAACACTTATTTTATAATTCACAATGCTCAGACCTACGGACTTGTACATCGGTGGTTCAATAATAGAATGTTAACCAACCGTGTACACACCCCAGGTTCAGTTGCCAGCCGATTTACTCCGAAACCTCACCTAGCCGTTGGTAATTCCCAAGAAATGAGGGAATGCTAGGCATGAGGTTACCGACTCCCATTCCTTAGAAAACACAACAACAAAAGCTTGAAATCATATGTTCCACTCGGAAAGCAAGGGATGAAAAAACTGGAGACTCACGACATAAAGATTGCTGTAGTTTATCCCATTAGCTTGCTATATTTTTGAAACATGCTGACAAATGAACTATTGCAACAGCAAAACATAGCGGTATTTGATAGCAAAATATAAAAACATTAGATTGTAACTTTAATTTTCAAAAGTTATTCGTATTCTGCTTCTTTGTATTCGATTCATGTTTTCTATAACTATGTTTTCATAATTATCTTCATCTCTCCTCTATGCAACCTAATCCCACAGTTCACTATTCAAGATTTTTGCAGAAGACGTCGTCAATAGACTACTTACGAATTAGTGTCAGTGGCAAACTCCACACTATAAACAGACATCTTATTGGTAACTTCGTATTGTCAGTTTACTCTCATTTATTATTATTATTGTTCCCTTGGGTTCCTAGTGGAACATAGGGCTTCAACTGCACGTCTCCACTTGCTTCTGTCTTCTGCTGTACTTTTCACTTGCATCCATGTTAGTCCATACTGTTTCATCTCCTCCTCACACGATCTCCTCCATGTCACCCTTGGACGTCCCACTCGCCGCTTCCCTTTCGGGTTCCACTCGAGGGCCTGACGCGCGATGTCACCCAACGGCCTCCTCAGCGAGTGTCCAATCCATCTCCACTTTCTCCTGCATATTTGTTGGGCGATTGGTTCTTGTTTTGTTTGTTCCCATAGCTTCTTGTTTGTGATTCTTTCCGGCCATCTGATCTTCAGTATAGAGCGAAGACAGTTGTTGATAAAGGTCTGCAGCCTGTTGAAAATATTCTTGGTGACCCGCCAAGTTTCTGATCCGTATAGCAAAACTGACTTGACGTTTGTATTGAAAATCCGAATTTTGTTGTTGATGCTGAGTGACGAAGATTTCCAGATTGGTTTCAGGTTGATGAATGTGTTTCTCGCCTTCCCGATTCTCGATTTGACATCCTCGTCCGTTCCTCCTGTAGTTGAGACAATGCTCCCTAAATAAGTGAAAGAAGTAACCTCTTTCAAATCCCTCCCGTTGATGGTGATTGGCGCTGGATGTTGCTGCTGTTGTTGTTGTTGTTGGTTGGTTATTTTCATAACCTCCGTCTTGTCTATGTTCACCTGGAGTCCTGTCTTTGCTGCTTCTTCGACCAGTTTGTCGGTTTTCGCTTGTAAGTCTTCGATTTTGTGTGACATCAAACATAAATCATCCACGCGCGAAATCCAGGTCTTCTAGGTTCTTCACGTCGGTCCAGGATATCCCTGTCTTCTCGTTTCCCACTGTCTGACGCATAATCCAGTCCACCACAATTAGGAATATCATTGGTGATAATAAGCACCCTTGTCTGACTCCTGTGTTTACTCCAAACGCCTCGCTGAGTTTTCCGTTGTGGATCACTTGACATGTGCCGTTGTCGTACAGCTGTTGAATAAGGTTGATGAATATTTGGGGTACGCCGTAGTACTCGAGTAGTTTCCAAATTACTTCGCGGTCAACGCTGTCGAAGGCCTTCTCAAAGTCTATGAAGTTGAGGTAGAGATTTGATTGCCATTCCATGCTTTGTTCGATGATGATGCGTAGAGTTGCGATTTGGTCAGAACATGATTTGCCTTTCCTGAATCCAGCTTGTTCTGGTCGGAGTTCTGTATCCAGTGCGTCCTTGATTCTCTCCAGGATGATGCGACTCAGGATTTTACTTGGCGTCGACAGGAGCATGATTCCTCGCCAGTTCTTGCAGAGTCCTAGGTCGCCCTTCTTTGGTAGTTTCACTAGGTAACCTTTCTTCCAGTCAGTAGGCACCTTTCCCTCTTTCCAGATCTTTTGCAATAATGGAGTCAGCATATCTGCTGTCGTTTCTGGGTCCGCTTTCAGTGCTTCCGGGGGTATTCCATCTGGTCCAGCTGCTTTTCCAGCTTTCAGAAGCTTGATTGCATTCATGACTTCAGCTTTCGTTGGAGGATTGGTGTCAACTTGCAGTTGTGTACGTGCTGTTGTTGGTATTACTGGACGGGTTGTAGGTGGTGGTCGGTTCAAGAGTCCTTTGAAGTGGTCCGCCCATTGTTTAATCTGTCTTTCTTCTTTGGTAATTGGGTTCCCTTGGCTGTCTTTTATGGGTTTCACTTGTGTTGATCTCTTCCCGGATAGAGACTTGGTTATCTGATATAGTGTCCTCAGGTCCCTTTTGCCTGCTGCCTTCTCAGCTTCAGTAGCCAGGTTGTCGTAGAATTGTCTTTTGTCCTTCCTGGCACTCTTCTTCACTTCTTTGTCCAGTGCTGTGTAAGTTGAGCTCAGCGTCTCTTTCTCTTGTCCATCTTTGCATTGAATCATTTTCTCTTTCACCTTTCTCCTCTCCTCTATTAGCTTCCAAGTGTCCGTTGAGAGCCATTCCTTGTCTTGTTTCTTCTTTCTTCCTAAAACCGTTGAACACGTTTCGTTGAAAATTACCTTCAGAGAGTTCCAATGGTCTTCCACGGATGATTCCTCAGTGGTGCCACGTAGTGTTTCCTGCTTTGCTCTGACAGTTGCAGTGAAAATGTCCTGTGTGATTGTGTCCTTCAGTTTTTGCGTGTTGAACTTGCATTGTGGCCTATCCCCAGGTATCCTCGAGGCTTTCAGCTTCACCTTGAAAGTCCCTTGTACTAGATAGTGGTCTGAACCCACATCTGCTCCTCTCCTCGATCTTGTGTCCAGTAGGCTCCGTCTCCACTTCCTTGAGATTGAAATGAAGTCTATCTGGTTTTTGGTGTGTCCATCTGGTGAAATCCATGTCGCCTTGTGTATATCCCTGTGTTTGAACACACTGCCACCAATCACCAAATCATTGAAGGCGCAGAAGTCTGAGAAGAGTTCGCCATTTTCGTTCATTTCACCGAGTGCCTCACGACCCATGGTGAGTTCTTTTCCTGTATTGTCTCCTCCCAGTTTCGCATTCATGTCACCCATCAGGATTTTGATATCGCTCTTTGGGACGTTGTCCATTACTGTTTGTAGTTGACTGTAGAAATCCTCCTTTTTCTCTTGTTCTGAAACGTTTGTAGGCGCGTAGCATTGAATGATTGTAACCTTTTTTCCTTTTGAGTTGAACCTGGCTGTCATTATCCTGGAGGAGATTGGTTCCCACTGCATGAGAGCTTTAGCCGCTGTTGGTGACATCATGATGGCTACTCCCTCGGTGTGCTCGTGATTGTCCTCTGGGTGACCGGAGTAGATTATTGTCTCTCCAGTTGACAGTTGGCTCCTTCCACATCCGTTCCATCTGCTCTCGCAGATTCCCAACACTTCTATTTTATATCTCCTCATTTCTGCGGCTACCTGAGCAGCCTTCCCAGCTTCGTACATTGTACGAACATTCCACGTCCCCATCCTTATTTTTGCTCTCATCGAAAGAAGGCACATCGGCTGACTGGCTTCCCGAAGGCTTTCACCAGCCTGCGTCATTTCACTTCCCCGATTCCAGCGAAAAATAAGGTCATTGTTTGTATTTTTAGAATTTTTAATATATTTGTGCGTTGAAGTTTTAGTAGCAGTTTGGTTAAGTTTTGGGGGTAGAGTTGCTAGCACCACGCCCCAACCCTCCCTCTTTATCCGGGCTTGGGACCGGCTAGAATACTAGTGACCTAGTAATCTAGGCGAGGTTTTACTCTCATTAGAATACCTCAATTCCATACTGATAACAGGAAATAATATAACAGATTTCAAGATAGCTCACGAACTGACTTCAATAAAAGAACCACTGGATACCTGGAGGTGCTGTGCAGCTGTTTTTTCCCTGTCAGGAACTCTCCAGTAGTGCGTGCCTGTGACACCACCAATGATCGAACGTAAGACTTTCAGGATGTTGTGATCAGTGCTGTCCACCAAGTTGCGTGTGAGAACAAACACTCACTGATGACATTAGCTAGCAATCTCACTACGTATATCGCGAACTGGCAGAAGTTAAAATTCCTTGGCCATTGAATTTTGTTTCAGTGGCCGAATGGTATACAAACTTTCCTTGTAACCTGAAGCCCTGGGTTCGATTCCTGTTGGTGAGGTCATAGGTCATGAGGAGCCCCAAACAAGGACGAAACAGTCTGTCCAATACTCCCTGGTTTTCAGTGGTTCTCTAAATACAGTCAGTTCGTGACTAATACCTGCAAACAAAACTTGAAAATGTAACAAATACCAAATTCTTGGTCATCATCTCCCCTAATGAAAAATAGTCTGCAACAGTTTCCTTTGCCGATTTAGTTACCTTGATGTATTCCCTTGCCGTGTGGTTTCATGAACGGCAATTGTCAAGGAATATGAACATTGAACGTTGGTTCATTAACCTTGGTCACCATTGGCGGGCAACTCGAAGGCGCGAATGGTTCGATCGTGTGCAAGTTCGATGAAGGCGTAAAAATACGAATAAAAGTACTTTATAATTTTGTCTAAAACATTTGTTGATAGACTTGTATCAATCTTTACTTTAACTGCCAAACAATATAACTTCCTTCAAAGAATACTGCTGTTTTGGAGTTAAAGTCGAGAAGATACATAATCATTATCGGTTCAAAGCGTCTTCGTTACAATAGGAACTTAGGGCTAAGTTCCTTGACATCAACTTAAAAGAATGCTAAGGATGTAATGCAAATAAACTTGATCATTTCGATTATATCTGATCCTTATAGTAAAATATTTTCACTATTCAATGAAATCTTCAATTTGTTCTCAATTATACCTTGGTACGACATATGCATTGAAACGAGAAAATAACAGATTGACTTCTGAATTTTTCAAAATACACAAGCAAACATTTTGTGCACCCTAAAACTATTAAGCGATCCATACCCTTCCCCCACAAAGAGACCCAACTTCACGATGCTAGAAGAAAAAGTGTGGCTTCCGTTTGTGTTTTCATATAAAAATAGAACTTATGAACCTCTCCTAACGAACACAAATTCGATCTGGTCACCTTAACGCCAATAATACTCTACAAGTTATCTTAAAACTATGATTAGTATACACAAGTGAGAGATTTAACATTAAAATAACCCCAGAATGTTCATATCCTATATGCTTCAATACTTTAGAAAATAAGAAAGAAAGGTTGATAAGATCAATCTTAATAATTAGAAATGGATGAGGTCTATTCGGGAGCTAGTTGTTATGTGGTGAGAGCTGCCTGCTAGCCAAAACTGGTTGACAGCAATTTACGTCAATGTTTACGTCCTAAATCTTGGTCACGAGAGGAAAACAAGAACAAAGACTAACTCAACAAAGAATCACAGCAGACTTTGCGTGGGCGGATACGATTCGTAAATATATGGTCTGACCTTCAAAGAAACGGTCACAAAGAGATGACAGATTAACTTTCAGCGAGAAAACAACCAATCAGAAGACGCTGTTTCTCTGCTAATAATAACGAATAATAATGTACATAAAAATATATAAATATCTCTTGATTTCCTCAATAAACGATCTGTTGCCTGGCCCTTGTCTTCTGTCGTTACAGTTATAGCAAAAATTCAAAATCTGCAGTTTTGTCGACAAGGTTGGTTTAAATCTCGACTTGTTGTTATAGCTGAGTCGACAGAAAACCAGATCGAATACCACCACCTGTATTTCTTTTCAAACTCTACTTTGATCTTTACTTCAAAACAAACTAGCCAACAACATCGAGTTTATCCAGAGTAATCAAAATAAGAAGGATAAAAACTTACTTTGTTCGAGTTTATTTCTACAAACATTTCGTACCATTTGAACTCCAATAACAGGATCAATATTCAATTCTGTTTTATACAAATCTAAAAATAAACTATCCAATAATGACGACGAATAAGATTTCTTATCATGACTATTTTCATCCGATATGGATATCTTTGATTTACGCCAACGACCTAGACGAAATTCATCTTGACATAATGCAAGTAAATTTTTCAAAGTATTCTGTGTATAAACATCAGAAAACTCTTGTTGTAAGACAGTATCAGACAAGTATTGACTTCTTAACCATGTTGATGAAATTGTAGGGGAAGGAAGAGGGGATTCAGTAGGAGAACAGGCAATTGTTTGACATAATCGTTTGTTGATCTTGTTGTTGTTGCTGTTATTGATACCGACATTATGCAACTCGAAATGATGATTATCATTTCGATAGTAAGACCCGATTGCCCTTGAAATAAAGTTGAATTTTTCCTTTTGAATTAGTGCACAACATTTTCTGTAAAGCATAACTACAATTGCAAAAAAGCATATGAAATATAAGTAAAACACTACGAAAAAAAACAGGGCAACAGAAATTAACACCATTTATTTCTAGAAATTCTTCAATAAAATAATTGAATGAAATTAGAATCTAACTGTCATTTCAATGACCTTTATAGACAGATTAATTTCTCTCTGATTGGACACTAGATAGTGACTAATATCCTATTTCAAGTCCGTGGGCATGGTGAAGACTGAATTCCATCAGTCAAGTCTGTAATGTGGCCATCATACTAGGTAGCTCACCATCACGATGCCGTCAGAATTGTTTTCAGATGGTTGGAGGCAGCCAGCAGGAAACCTTGGACATAGATTTTGTGGTTGTCAGCAGTCGTCAGTAAGGTGTGTCTGCAACTGTGAGGATACTCATGTCCCTTCTGTTATTCGACCCCTCGTCGCCCACTGCTACAGTCAGAGACGTTACCACTGAGCTATTCGAGCTCACGACTGACCTCCTGTAGGACTGTAATGGATACTTTGACTTGACACTAGGAAGTAAATAATGTCATGAGTCTGGTCCTCGGTGTTGACACAGACTGAATTCTATCAGACAGATTATTATTTTTACTGGAAACAAATGGTGAAAATTCAGTCAAATGAAGAACAAGAGTACACATCACATCACCATGGAATAAAACTCCTGATAATCGCACAATGCTATCAGGTAATACTTTCGAACTTATCTAATTAAAAAATAATGATAAATAGATAGAAATATTTAAAAATTCATATGATGGCAACTTAATTTTCTAAAGAAATATATTTTGATGTCATTCCCTTTTTATGATGCATTTTCCTCTTGTAAAAATACAATGAAAAAAGCCACTGACACAAAACTGAGGCGGTAGCACATCAAGAGAGAGTGCAAACGAGCTTTCTCATTCGTATGTTAATCAATGCACTGGGAAAATTTACTCTACTGGGATTGTGATAATGATGGTTAGTGTGAAAGGTTGAGGTTCCTAAACTGTAGAATTACATTCTCGTAGCTACATTATATATATATGCATCCCCAGCTTATTGAATAAGACATTTGATTTTTAGAAATCTATTTGTTGTTTGGAACCTACACAATTACTGTACGAGAGTTCGCGCATCACCGAAATCACTTCAGACAGCCAACTGCACACTCTCATCAACAGATGCCTTTACTAGCCAGGTAATGAAGATCGGATGACCGGTCGGAAGGAGTAATAACAAAGAACTCTAGCAGAGAACCAGCCAAAAACATATAATCCAACAGACAAGCGTAAAATGTGGAAATGAACTGGATCGAGAAGACTGGTGAGTGACATCATGAGCCAGATGCTTGAGCGGACGCCGAATAGGAAGCGAGAATTTGGGCATTCAACGGTAACATGGAGATCATGTGAAGAGAAAATCGAAGCTTGTGGGTAACCATGGAGTCGGCTAAAAGTGCTGAAGCCATATATCCCGCTAACAACACAAAAAAACGAATAATATTTTACTATCAGTAGCATTATGATACACACATACACATACACAAATCAAATGTTCAGTGCTCCCACGTTTCCCAGTGGTTCTCTAACTGATGTCAGCTCATGATGAAATCCTTTATCCAATCAAACAAAATCTCTACAAAGCCAATACTTGAAAATTTTAAAAAAGACGAATCGTTGTGTTAGTGAGATTTCAATTATAATGCATGAACATATTCAAATACAACAGTTGCATTTTACAGGCAGATATACTTTAGTGAATAAATGCCAACCAGTAAGAAACACAGGTTCAAATACGATCCAACCAACTAACTACAATACTCATAAACAACTAGACCTCAAAGCAGCCAGTTCATTAGAAGTTAGAACGAAATAGGAGATAAACAGAAATGGACAGTGTTACTTTCTAATCTATAGGAAAAGGTGCCCCTAACTGTTTCCTGCTTGTGATTCAAATCTCTAATGAAAATTAATTACATTCAATAGCCAAAAGAAAACAAATCTATTTATATTTAAGACTATATTTGAACATTAATAAAAAAAATAAGCATAACGATATTAAGTACAACTTGTTATCGACCAAAGCTGAATTATGGAATGCCTTTCAATCCATTGAGCTTTGATGATAGGATAGATATCGCTTCAGAACTATCCGGATGATTAGATTTTAAAGCTAAACGAATTAATAGAATAGCCCATTCTGCACAGAATGAATTGAATGGATCCCTGTTGGTTGAATCTAAAATCACTTCAAATGCAGATAAAAAAGATGTTGTTGATGACATCAGTGAGGATGATGATGAAGAAGGCGAGTTTGAAGTATTATTATCTCCATCAATATTTATTGATGTTCTGCTCGTCAAATATTCACTGATATTAAACTTGTGCTGTGCTAATGCAAGTGATAATTGAGGAAATTGTGTAATCAATCCAACCATACATCGTATAACATCCTGTTTAAAACCAACAGCTTGTACTAATGAGAAGGCCGATGTTCTAGGAAGTAATACCTATTATATCATGAAAGAAAAATGTGGATAAATAATACACGAGTTAGTTTAAGTATACTATGCACATATAACTTCAAAACTAAAGAACTTATTGAGCTAGTGTACATGTTTTCTACGCATTAGACTAAGTTGACTGAAGTTCAAGTGAGAAGTTATGACCAGTGGAGTTCACAAGGTCGGATACTAAGGACAAATACTCGCCGAAGACGACGGCTGGTGGTCACGCTAAAATCAGGAATTAGTAGAAGTTGAAGTTCACGGGCCATCGGATCAGGTCTCAGGCTTGGTCTACTAGCTCGCTATGTATTAAGAAGATCCTGATTTTGACCCTCGGTAGGTGAGTACTGCTACTAACTAGGGCGAAACAGCTGTCCAACACCCCCTGGTTTTTAGTATTTCTCCAAAATGACATCAATCCATGTTCAAATTTGAAACAAGCTAACGCTTGAAAAATACTAGACTATAAAATTTTACAGTTTTCATTTTGATCCTGTATAGAGAGCGATAGGTAAACGTTGGTCAAAAGTGTTAAGCAAGGATGAATGAACCACTGTTCAATGGTATATGTATATGTGGTCACTAGCGTTGAGAGAGAGAAGATAGCCAATAAGGATATTCCGTGGCCGAGGACATAGGTGTGAGCAAAAATATCCAGACTACCTTGATTCAATCTCACCACACACACATATTTTATTTTTTAAATTTTTTTATTTTATTATAGCTTGATTCCACACAGTATTTTGGTACAAGTATGAAATTTTCAGCATGTGATATCGGTAGACCAAAGTTAGCAGGCCGATCATAGATATCAGGTGTGCATCGGTGGGGGATCGAACCTCGGACCATGTGCATGGTCGGCGAGAGTCCTAACCGCTGTGCCACTGACGCCACACATATGACATGTCTGACTACATATCAGTGACATTAAACATTTAAGCTATGAACGAGCATTTATGTCCACTAAAATCAATCAATCATAAGGGGAACTCAAAACAATTTCAATAAATTACAAGTGGAACCTGTTGCACTCGAGGTTACTCTCATGGCTCAGTGGTGGATAATGCTTAGGAGTTTGAAACGATTGGTGCCGGGTTCCAGTCTCAATAGAGGAGTCACCACCACTCGTTTGGACGCAGATACACCCAGATGATGAATCTATTTACTTTACTCCTTTGCATTCCCAGTGGAACACAGGGTCTCGAACTTTGAAGATTTTGTGTTGTTTTTACGGGGTCGGGTTGCTAGCTTGACGCTTAACCTCCCCTCTTTGCCGAGCTTACTGCTAGCTAAGCGAGGTTTAGGAGTGAGTCTGCCAAGAATCGAACCCCAGACCACTTGCATGGTTGGCGAGCATTCTACCACTGGACTGCCAGTGTACATATCTCGTCCTAGTTCAGTAAGAATTTACTTTAAGTGACAACGGTTAACCAAAATTGAATCCCTTCCCCAACGTTGTTATCCTTCGATATCTGAATAAATTTATCAAAAGATGATTATTACAATCATTAGGAGATATTATATGTATTCTCCATGATCCAACCTTCAACTTACTGAATCCTGTCATTATCTTTTTTATACTTCAGATGTTGGTACATTCAGTAAATCATGACGTGTCTCACACCTTGCTGGTTATATATATCAAAGTGGAACATGAGATGTTTTATTAAAACTTTTTCATCCCCACCACATAACAGGAATTCATTTATTTACTGAGAACAGTATTGACAGTGAAAATGAATACCATGTAATACGACAAATCTTCAAAACCACCCATTCCCACAATACTTCTTTAGACACTCAGCGATTTCTGTACAGTTTCATTCATCGGAAGGTTATGTATCAGCACCTTGTTTCAGAAAGACGTGTAATACATTCAGTGTGAGGACCAGATACGTGTACTCCTTATTATTGGGAAAAACTATGGTATAATTGAATGGAATAAAGTTGTTTTCAGGTCGAGGAACTAGAGAAAAGTAAACGTCAAGTAGTGGTAGGAGATTGATAGGTATATGGTGGTTTTCAAAAGTTCTGAAGTGAAATTTATATATATATATATATATGCTTCTAATTAGTCCACTAAGGACTATTGACGACCGTTGATACACACGAAGTGTGAGCTATTTGCGACTTCCTACAGATTTAAGACATTGTACCTCAAACAAATAAAGCAAAAGACTTTGTGAATAAAATGAAAAGAAACAAAAAGAAATAAATACTATACCATTTTCTTAGCCAGTCTTGATGCGTGAACTTTGAAGTCTTTCACCTCGACAGGATCATTACGAAGAGGTAAATTACCCTCCAATGAATCAGAGATATTATAAGATTCTTCAATTTTAACAATTCCATAATGTAAACCGACTAGAATATTGCACAGAAGTTTCCATAGTTGACCAGCACACTCTTGACTAATAGACATCTTCTTTTCTGTTATAAGTGAATCGCCATTATCTTGGCTAATCGACAGTGATTGAAGTTCATCACAAGGCAGTTTATCACT